CCCCAAAACCCCAAAACCCCAAAACCCCATTAGGGAAATTTATCGAATTTTCTACAAAAACTAATAACAAAATAATAATGAATCAATAGCAATAATATTCGCTTAAATTAAATAATTAGAAAATGTACTCACTAGGATTTACTAATTGGCTCTATCCTTGTATTAATAACTGGATTTGGAGGAAAAGTAAAGTTGTCTTCTCTTTATTGGTATTTTTAAAACCTCTCAAATTCTACTTTTTTAATTGCATTTGCTTTTTGATTAATTGATATTGCATCATCTAGCATCTTAGTACCAATAACTAAAATAGCTAGAAAGCCAATAATAGATACAATAGCAATTTTTATTCTTGATTCATTAATCAATGGATCTTCTTTTACTAAAATAAAGAAATTTGTAGAATTTACTCTGCCATCATAGTTCTGAGCTTCTACTTTAATTTAATACTCGCCAATCTCTTTAGCTAATCCATTAATCGTTCTATTTTCTGAATTAAAACTCAACCAATCATAAAAATCACTTTAATCTTAAGTTTTATTATATTTTTAGACTGCATAACTTAAACTTGATCCATAAGGATCTTTAAAGATGTTCAAAGGCAAAATAATCTCGATATATTCATTCAAGTAATAAGTCATGTTTGATATTCCTTTATATACCTAAGGTGACAAACTCTTTGGATTACTCCTTGGTAATTTAGTCTCAATAGTGAATGTTGTATTAACCTCGAAGCCAACAATATCTATACATCTTACAAGTAGTGTAACATTATTAGCATAATTTAAGGCGCTTCCAACCAATCTGAGATTCTATGCATCCCATAAAATCCAATTGGGCAGTTAATCTAAAGGTGCAGTAATATCTGATATATAGTAAGTAATAAGATCATCATCCTCATCATAAAAATGTGAACTAATGTCGATAACAAAATTCGCCATACTAAAGAGTGACAAATTAGTGAAATTCTTAGTAACTACAGGATAGTGATTTTCTATGACAATGATATCTATTCTAAAACTAGCTGACGAACCGTACTAATCTACTGCTTTAACAGTAAAGCTAAGGGTATTACCAGAGTAGCCATCATCTTTAGGTAACTTAAATGCTGTTCCATAAAACATCTAGTTAAATGGGGCAAACTGAAGCCAAGCTGGTATTATTGCGCCTTTAATGACGTCATACATCGAGGCTGTAATTGTCATATCTTCATAGTTATCATTATAATCCCATAAATGACTGGTGTTAAATTGAAATGCAAATGGTCTATCTAGATAAGCTCTAGCTATCACAGTTTCTGGAGTGGCTTGAGGAAGAGTATTGAAAATTATTTAAAAGTTCTATGAACAAACACTTTGGTAGGTGTCTGAAGCTGTCATTCTTAATCTGTAAATTCCTCCGATTGTTTAAATCTAGGTTATGTTGAGTATGCCGGTAATTTAGTCGAAAATTATAAAGCTTGGAATATCCATGTAATTGGTCTGTTCTATTTGATAGTAAAGTTAATCAAGATCTGTGTCCTTGAAGTACTTTGAAAGATCAACAAAAATACTTCCTTGCCCATTATATACAAATAAGGTCGACTCTGGAATACCTCCGTTATTTATGGTAGGAGCCTCATTAAGTATTAATGAGAATGAGGTTTAAACTTGTCCTCCATAATTGTCTTATAGCGTTAATATTATAGTATAAAGTGTGTGTGCTGAGACCTAACTCTGGGGAAAGCCAAAGAATCTTCCTGTTGTTTTATCAAAGAATAACCAATCTGGGAGAGGATCTGAAGAATCTAAAATTGCGTTGTAAGTAAGTTAATGGCCATCAATGTCTGTAACATAATCACTTGGTATTTGGTAATCATATAATCTTCCAACCTGTAGAATTTAACTAGGTATAGTTTAGAGTATAGAAGGTTGGTTATTAGTTATAGTAAATTGTACGCTCACTGAATTGTTTCTAGCTTAGTCGTCATAGCAGGTAATCTTTAAGTAGAATGGGTTCTCAACTCCAGTGTAATCTGATTTCAATGGAATTCCTGCCAATATTGAAGTTTCTACGTCGAAAAATAGCCAAGTTGGAAGCCCAGCAGTGAATGCAGAAATAATTAATTGTTCTAGTCTCCATGATGAGCAAGTTTAAGAAAAAGTATTTGAAAAATCTAGAGAATATAACTTTCCAACTATTGGCTTTTAATCGGCTGGATAATTTTTAATATAGAGGGGTTTTTCTGGATCTTAAATTATAACTCTAAAATATTTTCCACTTTTATGCCCTGAATTTTCAGCGATAGTAGCTTTCATATTCAAATAATAAGTTCCCACCTAAGTAGCCAAAGTTGGAGTTAATGTTAGAGTTCGCTAGGTTGATGGACTAGTATCAGTGAAAGTGATGAATGCACTGTAAAAAGCACTGCTTGAAATTGATACACCCAAAGAATCTAATATATCAAAAGTATATGAAGGTGAAGTGTAAGAGATTGAGCACCATTGAGTCAATTAAACAGACTTGGTTTCTCCTAGTTCTACAATAATGTCATCTATATCACCTGGGACCAAAGATCCAGTAGTCAATGTTTTTAATCTGTAATAGTTATTTGATGAGTCTTAGCAGGGTTAAGTGCAAGTGCAAACATCTATATCTTTGATCTCCAAATCAGAGACTAAGGATAATCTAGATAGTACTTAATCTTTATAATAAGCAGTTGGAAGTGTAACCTCTGAATATGCTCCAACTGTTTTAATATCCTAAAGTTTTAATAAAAACAACTTGTTACCTCTCTTATTGACATAAAACCCCTGTCAAATACATCAAGCTCTACTTTCCATATGTTACCACAATCTTTATCATCCCCATAATAGCAAGTTCCATAATAGCAAGAATATTTTCTTAATAATTAAGTTTAACTAAAAAATGAAATTACCTGCATTCACCATAGTCCTCTCTACCAACAATGATAAGGTACTAGGAACTAGTAATGTGGACATTGATAATTCTGTTATCGTGAGCATACGGTACATCAAACTGTCTCCCAATAATATAACTTAAATCAGAAGAGGACACACGGATTACCATCTAGTCAGGATAGTCTATTTTAGAATAAGGTTAGCAATTCAATTTTATACCCTAATAAAGGTGTGCTATTTTGGTCCATCCTACAATAGTAATGGTTTTCTCCTCAATCGATAAAGCACAAGAGAGTCCTTCAATAGTGTTTGTGCTCTATCCTATAATAATATATTCCAAAGATATTTTACCATATTCAAATGAATGTGTCCTTGTTCCATCAGGTGAATATCTAGTAATCAGTACTCTTTAATCTGTTCCCCCATTATTTATATTTCTTGTTCCGCAGGCAATTGTGAACTAATCATCCTTTGCAGATGCAATCTATCTGTAAAAATCGTGCACTCCATCATTGCCTTCATAAAGACCCCATTAGTAATCTCCATTTCTGTGTAGTTTCATAAGCATTGCATCTTGCATTCCATGAGACGAACCATCAAAGTAAGCGCTGGTGCTCCCAGCTAAGTATATATACTTCCCCATAAGACTTAGAGACATAGCTAAAATGGACTCCCAGGTTGAACTAGCCCATGCCCTTAGCCAAAGCTAATTCCCTTTATCATCTAGCTTTATGATAAAACTATCCCAGTTAGGCTCAAAGCCAGTAGTTTGGCCTGTAAAATAAATGACTCCACCATCATCTTATATTTCTAAGTCATAACCATAGTCTGCCCCTTTGTGTAATCTTTTAGCCCAGACCATATTCGATGTCAAGGGATTAATCTTCCAGAAAGTTGCATCGTAATCTCCAGTATTCTAGTTGTTGGAACTTCCCACTACATAGAGATACTTATCTACAGACATTTTGATTTAAGCACAGGTGTCATCAGTATTTTAGTTTAATCCGAATGTTCTCATATAAATTCTATCACCATAAGGGCTAAATTTTTGAAGAATGCAATCCGATTTGTAAGACCCACTAGATAAGCAAGAATAAAAGTTGTAGGTTCCTAGAACAAATATATCATCTGTGACTGGGTCAGAAGTCACTGCATTGTTATAAGTATTTTGATAATCATCATGTGTATATGTCAATAGATAGAAAGTAGGAGCTGCATTACACTGAACCAAATTTCTTTTAGTTTATTGTATCTACAGATCTTATTGCTCACTTTCTTTTCTATTGAAAATGAATTCTTAAAACTGATTATATGCCGAAACTCAAAAGACTATTATGTTTAAAATTATTAACAAAGAGCCAATGATTCTAATGTTTTTATTTGTTTTCATTTTTAATTTATAATATTTTTATCCTTTTTATAATATTTTTTATTTTATTTTTAATAGTGGGGTTTTGGGGTTTTGGGG